ACACACACACACACACACACACACACACACACACACAAATAAATAAAATTAAAAAAAAAAAAACAAAAGTTAGCTATTATGTGTTGTGCAGCTCATGGGTATGCATGTGTCACTGTGGTACAGTGTCTTTACATCTTTTGGCAAGATACCTAGAAGGGGAATACCTGGGTCAAATAGAATTTCTAATTTAGGTTTTTGATGAATCTCCATACTGATTTCCATAGTGGTTGTACTAGTTGACATTCCCACTAACAATGAAGGGGGGGACACAGCAAGAGATTATTTGTAATAACTAGTAACAAAATAGAACATTTATAATATGTTGTAATAAAAGTTGTTTAAGGCTTATGAGTTCCTTATTTGAGAAAAAAATTTTATTTACTATTTTTAGACCATGTTTGGCTACATGTAACTGAGATCATTAGAACCCTGGATGTGTGGGTACTGCTGTGTGCCCTCTGTGGCTGGCCCTCCCCACCTCAGGTAAAGACTCCTAAATCTTCTGTGTATTGTGTCTTTGCATCTTTTTTGCTTTTTATGTGGCATAGGATTCCAGTTAGAGCCTTGCACATGCTAAGCAATGCCCTGCCACCGAGCTCTATATCCAACCTCCTATGCAACTCATAAACCATAAAATTTATCATTTTAATAAAGGGCACACCATTCAGTGGTTTTTAGACTATTCATAATATCTGTGTGCAATCATCACCACTGTGTAATTCCAGAACATTTTTATTACTCTAAAGAAGCCCCATTCTTCTTGAGTTACACCTCATTCTTTTCTCTCCCTAACCCCTGAAAAACAGCAATTTGCTTTCTGTCTCTGGATTTGTCTATCCTGGAATCGTATACTAGGTTGCCATTTGTGACTGGTTTCTTCCATTTGGCATGTTATGGCATAGATCAGAACTTCGGTCCCTTAGATGAAATAACCTTTCATTGCATGTATATGCCAATCTTTGGACATTTGTTTATCAGTTGGCAGACATTTATGTTGGGTTGTTTCCACTCTATACTACTATGAATGATGCTATTAGGAACTTTTACTTACAGATTTTTGTGTGAATGTCATTTTCAGTTTTCTTTACTCGAGAAGTTGATTTTCTGATTTAGATAGTAACCATATGTTTAATGTTTGAGGAATTTTCAACTGTTTTCTAAGGTGACAACAATGTATAAGATTTCCAGCTTTCTTTTCTTTTTTTGTTTTGTTTTTCCGAAAGAGAGTCTTGCTCATAGTTCAGGCTGCCCTTAAGCTCATTATTTCACCTGGCTGCTGTCAAACGCAGCCATCCTGCTGCTTCAACCATTCATACCACACCCAGCTCAAAGAGTTTCACTTTTCACATCCTAACCATTAAGTCCGCCCGATGTGGCCATCATACTTGGTGTAAAATAGTATCACATTTGTGGTTTTTTCTTATATTTTCCTAATGATTAGTTTTGAGCATCTTTTCGTGTGCTTATTGGCCATTTGTGAATCTTTCTTGGAAATTCTATTCAAATTTGTCACCTGTTTTTAAATTGTCTCTTTATTGTTGCATTATAAGTGTCTTTTACATATTCTAAATACTAGATTCTTATTAGATACATGCTTTGCAAGTAGTTTCTCAAACTCTGTGGTTTCCTTATAATGTCTTTTGTTTGTGTGTAGGGGGGGAGATAGTATCTCACTATAGCCCAGGCTAACCTTGAACTCCAGGTAACTTTCCTGCCTTAACTTTATGAGTGCTGGGATTACAGGCATGTACCCACCATGCCTACTTTGATAGTCTGTTTTGAAGCATGAGTGTTTTTAATTTTGATGAAATCTAATTTGTCTATTTTTTCTTTGTTTGGTCCCTTTGAATGTCATATCTAAGAAGCCTTTGCTAATTCAAGTAATAAAGATTTATGCACTGGGTTTATTTATTTATTTATTTTTTGGCAGAACCAGGGATTGAACTCAGGCCCTTGTGCTTGCCAGGCCAGTGCTTATTCTACTGAGCCATTTCTCTGGCCCCTTAGTAATAAAGATTTATACCATGTTTTTCTTTTAAGAATTTTATAGTTTTAACTCTTACATTTAAATTCTTGATTTAGGGCTGGCCAGATAGCTCAGCAGATTAAAGCGCCTGCTTATGCAGACACAGGGATGAGGGTTTGATCCCCAGTGTGCTGTGCCGGCCCTGCCCCCAGGGCACGCTGAGACTGCAATTGAGACCAGGAATGGTGGCATGCTCCTGTAATCCCAGTGTTTGGGAAGTTGAAAACAGGAGAATCACTGCAAGTCTGATCTATATAGTGAGACCCTGTAGACCCTGTACTAAATAAATAAGTAAATAAATTCTTGATTTAGGAGCTAGGGGTTTAGCTCAGTGATGCAGTGCCTGCCTGGCAAGTGTGAGGTCCTGAGTTTGATTTCCAATACCCAAAAAGATAAATAAATAAGTAAATATAAATTGTTAATTTATTTTGAAGTAATTTTTTGATCATGTTGGTATATTTATATGTAAATACAAAACTATCACTGTAAGATATTGAATATGAATATTACAATTATTACTGAATCTGACAGTCCATTGATGTTAAATACAAAATGAAATGATTGTAAAAAATAAGAATATACACATTCAAAGAGCTTATTATAGCATAAAATTACTGAGGTCTGATCAGCTGCCAATCTCATTTCTATGGGGGGGTTGGGGTTTCAGGTACTCTCTTGGGAGTATAGAATACTGGGGACTCCTGATTCTATCCCTGCAGTCAGGCTGGGTGGCTAGGAGCAGGCAGGGACAGCTAGGTGACAGGAGACAGGGGACAGGGGACACTAGCTGGAGTATTATGCTTATAATTGACACAGAACCCATACAGTTAGGACCTGGCAGATAAAAAAAATGGGTGTCTCAGACAGGACATAGGAAAGGAACCTCTAACAAATGAGAAAGGAGCTTGCTTATCCTTTGGGAGGCATTCTATGGTGGGTTTCTCCCTCACCTTTTGCTCCCCTCCTTTCTTGCTGAGACTTCGTACCGATTGGTTTTGGCTTTGCTTGCTTAGTGCGTTCATCTTTACCCCATCTTCCATCCTTAGGGTGGAAGAGGAAAGGGAGGGCCTGGCTTCACAGTGGAGGTCTGGCCCCCAAATCTGCAAAGTAAACAGAGAAAAGCTGTTTAGATATGGGCCAGCCATGCTGAAGTACACCAGTGTCACCACAAACCAACATTCTTGGTTCCGATGGGCAGAATCCAGAGGGAAGTCATCACTTGAGATGAGAGCCTGGGTGGGAGCAAGGAGGATAGGTGTGTATGTACCACCCCAGCCAGTCCAGCTAAAAGCAGGGTCCAAGAAGCGAGGAGGCTTGACCTTCATCACAGAGCCCCAGGAATGTCTACGGAGAGATGTGTGTATATATGTATTTATAGGATACGACCATAATATCACATATAATATATATTATATACACACATACATATGGACCCAGACACAGAAGTACACATATGCACATACACACACACACACACACACACACACACACACACACACGTGGAAGGACGGAGGAAACCAGACTACACGCCCTATGTATAAACGTGCTTGGCACTCAGGCAATCTCTAGAATATGTAACTTGGTCAAGCTCTCTGGGCAGGAAGATAAATGCTCTCAAACCTTCCCACCAAATCCTAGCAAGGGAAGGTGGAGAGACAGGAGACCTCTATCCAGAAGAATGGCATTGGGAGAGGGAGGAGGTCCCTGCTACTTGCCTTGGGGCTCTGGTAAATATTAATAGCCACAATTTGGTTTTAATAAGGCACAGTTCAATAGCAGGTGCTAGGAGTCAAAAACACATCACTGCTGGCCCTTTCTTGTGGCAACCCCACCACATTGATCTGGTGGAAAGAAGAGGTTGTCTTGTGTGCACGCAGGTACTGGGAGCCACAGGAGGCTGATCACAGCTTCAGCAGAACCAACGGCAACCTAAAGGCTCGGCAGTGTCCAGGGTGGTCTAAGGGAGGCTGGCCAGCAGGCAGGACACTGTGGGGTAGTTACTGACCCTCCATGGCCAGCAGGTTATGGCCAGAGGGTACCATGCCTTCCTTTTCTGCAAACTCCAGGATGACCTTGTAGCAGAAATAGTACTGCTCGGAGGTCTGGATGCTGAAGGCCTTTTGGGTCCACATGCATGACACTGTCTGGAACACATTGAGGGTGCCAAGTTCTTCCAGCTGTGCCAGGAAGATGTCCAGAGAGCAGAAGGTACCTGTCCTGCTGATGCCTGCACTGAAGTGGACTACAATGGGCAGCTGCTCAGGGCATTGCCCCTTGGAGCGGGCACCCATGCTGCTGATGGCCAGGCTCTGCTGGCTCCTGAAGGCCCTCAGGAAGTCAGTGAGCGACGCTGCCGAGGAAGGGACACCATAGTCTGGCCAGCTGAGGAATTGGAAGTGGGTCACCTAGTGTTTCTCCCTCTCCTCTGTGTTGTGAATTTCAAGTGTTGTTTTCTTATAATGGTTCATGTTCTCCACACCCAAGTTGGTCACTGTGAGGAAGCCAAATTGGATCCGAGTGTCCTTCTCTAGAGGCCAGTACTGGCCACGCTTCCTCCTGCCACCTTCCTCAAAGCGTGTGATCATGACAATCACCAAAACCTTCTGCTCCTACACCATGAGCCAAAAGTCACGATAGGTGTTTTCCAAAGGGCCCTGGGTGCTGATGTAAGCATTCTTCTGCTTGTAGCCATCCATGAAGCTGCATTGATGTAATCTGTCTGAGTGTGGCCACTTTGTTTTGTCAGCTTCACTCAAGTTTGGTCCAGGCATGGGACGTCCCCATAACAATTCTTCTTTAGGTTTCCTGGAGACATGGAACAGTGAAAAGTGCCAGCGGGGTTCTCCCGACGAATGTCTTCATACTCTTCATAGATCCCCCGCTTTTGCCTAGTATTAACATAGTCCACCAGCTCGTGGATAGTCATGGCATGGGGACCTGGAACATGTACTGAGTCCCAGTCTGAGGCAGGAGGGAAGGAGGACAGGATGATCTCATCAAAGGGATCTGGGTGGCCGATCACCTGGGGCAGGAGTTGGAAATTCCACGTGGTGAGGTCGATTCTGACGTATCCACCCAGGTTTTCTGGAAAGCACTCCCTGGGCAAGTGCTGGGTAACCTCAGATGTCTTTAATATCTGAATCCTCTCCCGCACTTTGTCCTTCAAGAGAAGGCTGATGAGGGAATAGGGCACTCGCAACCAGATGGGTGCACTCACAACCAGCACCTTTTTCAAGCCGGCTGGAAATGCTCTCTTCAGCAGGTTGAGGACTTTCTTGCCAAGATCCAGCTCAAAGTTTGCATAATTAGAACCACATATGTCATAGATAAACACCAAACCATTCCTCTGAGTCTCAAAGCTATCAACAGCCCTGTCCAGCAAGTAAAACAGTGCCTAGAGGACCATATGTTGGACTGACTTGCGGGGATGGTGCAGCCTGGCAGTGAAGAGGGCCATGGAGGCTCCCGTGGGGTCTTGCACACTTAGGATGGTGAACTGCCCACTAAGGATCTCAGAACGGAGAGATTCTACGTGAGGTTTCAGCTTTATGATGCCTTCCTTCTTTCGTGTGTCTCTCTGTAGGAGTGGAACTGCTCAATGGCCCTGAGCACATCAAATTTCCTGGCCATGAGGAACTTGACCGCCACATTCCAGGAGAGTGGGGAAACATTGTACTGAACGGTCCACTTGTTAATCTCTTCAAGAAACTGCTTAGTGGCCTGCTCCTCCTCCGGGCTCAGCTCTGGGACCAGGCCGGGCCGGGCTCAGCCACTGGCTCCATCCCGCCGCAGGCACTGCACCCGAGGGCAACAGCCCGCCCCTCAGCGACCGCTACGCCACAGCTCTTCAGGCCCGGGCCAGACGCAGCCTGCGCTGCGCTGCCGCAACGGGGGAAGGGCTGAAGTAATTTTTGTATACACTCTGAACTAGATCCTATACATTTTAAATATTTTAATAAAAATAATAAATCTTTTAATAGATATTTCTTATCAAGACCCAATACCTATTTCCATGCTATTTGGGCTAAAAATGACAATGTACTGTATGTATTCTTGGGCAGCTTGCTTTTCTTATTCATTGTGATATCAGTAGAGTTATCCATGTAGATAAGGGTGAATATAGTTCATTTATTTCCACTGTTCTATGTCTTTAAAACATTTTAAATTTGGTACAGGGTCTACTATGCAGCTCAGACTTATAGTGATCCTCCTGTCTCAGCCTCCCCAGCACTAGGATTGTAGGCGTGCACCACCATGCCTAGTTTCGGGACTAGCCAGTGCCGGTACGGTATGCTGTACCAAGGATTGAACTTGGGTCCTTGCGCTTATCAAACAGGCACTTAGACTGCCAACCTATCTCCCCAACCCTCTATTGGTTTTATTGCATTAAAATATCACATTTTATCTGTCTATTCACCTATGAGTAATTCTTTGGGTTCTTTCTAGTATTTTTCTGTGCACAGTCCAGAAGACGCTTTCTTAAGTGGAAAGGTCACGACCATATTCATATGCAGTCAGATATGTTAGGTAATATAACATTTTTCTACCCAGTGGCTTTACTAATTTGAACTCTTACCAGCAATGTATTAGAATCGCCTTTGTTGTACATCTTCACCAACACTTAGAATTTTCAGGGTTTTTGTTGTTGTGCTAGTCTGGTGGTTGTGAAGTGATCTTGTTGATTTTTTTTTTTTTTTTTTTTTTTTTGGTGGGAGGGAGTGGGTACCAGGAATCAAACTCAGGACCTTACTTTTGCCAGGCAGGTGCTGTCCCGCTGAGCTATATCCCCAGCTATATCTCATTGTGACTTCTCAGATTAATAGCAAAACTTGTTTTTCATTGCATATTTGCATGGTTTGGGAGATGGATATTTGAAAATGGAATGTTTGTAGCTGTTTGATGAGGAGCTAAGCTTTTATTCTGCCTACGGATGGAAGGTGGCAGGACTTGGGCCTAGACTATTGACTATTTGTAAAGAGTCAGGCATATTAGGGAATGTTGGGAAAGGTGGCCAACTCTATATGTGGGAGAGAACCGTTGTCACCTTGAAACCAGTGATGAGAGAAGCTAAAGTCCTGCCTTTCTTGCAACCTGGACTTTTGTCAAAAGGAGAAGGGGCTGCAGAGAAAGCAAAGCCAGAAGAGGATTCCCTAAGGGTAAGAATGAGGGCACATAGTCTTAGGAATGGTCCGTTTCTTCCTCATCATCTCAGTATTAGAGAGATACATACTTTCCTCGTTTATTCTACTAAGCTTAGTGATGATGCTAATAAAAACAAGGTAATGCTCATGTGCAGGACACTTATATGCTATATTCTAAGCACTGTGCCTTTTCTTTTTAAAAGTATGTATTATTTAATTCTGTATGGGACAAGTGTTATCTCAAGAGACAGTCACTGAAGATTTATATTCAGACAGCCAGACTCCAGAGCTCTTGGCATTGTGATGTATTGTTAGCCTGGCTCAGCTGAGCCCAGCAGAGGTTTGCTCAGGCAGGGGTGGGAGAGAAATAGGAGTCACTGTGTTAGCTGGGTCTAGCGTGGGGAGGACAGCAGAGAACAGAGAGGCCCATAGAAAAGATTCTTGAGGGCCGTTGCCCCATCCCAGCTGACAGCCTACTCTGCAAGGACTCAGGCTGTCTTTTCCATGTGTTGTGGCCCCTGTGGACTTCTGGAGAGAAAGCTGAATCTCAAAAGAGACCTGATGTTGTGAGGGAGACCGGTGATAAAGAAGAAAGTTTAGCAAGAAATAAAATAAATTTAAAAATTGGAATAAAGCAGAAGGGGAAAATATTCAGAGAAAGGACCTAATTTACCTAATACCTTACTTAATTTGCCTCAAGGGAGATCCCTTTGAGGAGGTGAGAGCTTATACATGAAGGATAACAGGGAGATAGCTGTGTCCCAGTTTGAGGAAAGAGGCCACGTGGAGGGAATGGCAGATGCAGAGTCCCCAAGACCGGAAGGCAGTTGGTGTAGTTTATAAACTCCCAGAAAGCTAGTGTAATTGGAGTGGAATGAACAAAAGGGTGGAGCTGCCCAAAACGAAGCTGGGGGTGGGGGTTTGGCGGGTCTTGCTGCTGCTTTGTGCCAGGACCAACATACAGGTCTCTAGCCTGCATGTCTACATAATCTCCAGGGAGTCCATGAAATTCTTCTTGTTTATCCTTAGGACCAGGTGTTAGCATACTCCTAAGTGACTTAATGTTACTGCCTAGTCTGTGAAAGAGGGTGGTTGGAAAGCTCTTGCTATCTAGTCCTAGAAAATTGGAACAAGAACTTGGAAGCTGCATCATACTGACCCTCAGGTGAGTTGGGGGGTCAGATGGCCTTACCCACAGGGCACAGGGGAGAAGGCAGCACCCTTCCACAGTTAAATGGCTGCACCAACTGTGGCATATCCATGCTACAGATTACTATTCATCAATAAAAAGAAGCAAACTTGATGTAAGAAACAGTTTGGATTAATCTCCAGAGAATTATGCCAAATTTTAAAAGCTAATGTCAAAAAAGATTACATAATGTATAATTTTATTTATTTTTTAAAAATTTTATTTGTGTGTGTGTGTGTGTGTGTGTGTGTGGCCAGCTCAGCCCACCAGGGGGCAGGGCTGGCTGGCATGTGGTGCTGGGGGATTGAACCGCGGTCCCTGTGCTTTGCTAAGCTTGTTCTGAGTAGGTGCTTTAGACCACTGAGCCATCTCACCAGCCCCTATAATTTTATTTATATCCAATTTTGAATAATTGTAGATATGAAAGATAGCTTGGTGATTGCCAGGTTTTAAAGGTAGTAGGGAAATTATTTTTAATTTTGTTTATTTTTTTATATATTTGGCACAGGGTCTCACTACGTAGCTCAAACTCATAGTGATCTTCCTGTTTTCAGCCTCCCCAGAGCTGAGATTACAGGTGTTCACCACCACACCCAGTCTCGGTGGCTACCTCAGCATGCCCAGGGGCGGGCCAGTGTAGCATGTGGTGCCTGGGATTGAACCCTGATCCTTGCACTTGCCTAAGCAGGCACTGAACTATCTCACTGGCCTGGTGGTAGGGAAATTGATACAACATAGGTGATAAAACTGTATAGAAGTGGAAGTATGTGTATGGATGTGTGTGAGCATATGTAAAACTGGGAAAATCTGAACAAGATTGCTGAATTATGTCACAGTCAGTATAGGGTGTATCTCTTAGAACTGCATGTGAATGTATAATTATATCAATAAAAATTTCAATTAAGAAATAAAAGATGGCCAGACATTATAGCACACGTCTATAATCTCTGTACTCAGGAGGCTGAGGCAGAAGGATTGCTGGGAGTTCAAGGCCGGGGTGAACTATATAGCGAGGCTCTGTCATAAAAAACAACAACAATAAATAAATAAAATAAAATTTGGAGCTGGGTATGTTGGCACATGCCTATAATCACAGCACTCTGGCAGAAGGATCACATGTTTGAGACCAGCCTGTACAATTTAGTGCCTTAGTACAAGGCCCTGGGTTCAATCCCCAGTAAAACAGGAAAAAAAAAACCAAAAAACAACCCAGAGCATTAAGTAGAACAATAGAGATATTTGTATTTTTTCAATTAAGGTACATTTAATATCAAGAATGTTAACACATAGTCCTCAAAATAATGAGGAACACATTATCCCATTGATACCAAAGAAAATGCCCTTTTCTTTTTTCTAATGTATTTAGTATAGGGTCTACAGGGTCTCACTACACAGATCGGACTCATAGTGATCCTCCTGTTTTCAGCCTCCCAAGCACTGGGATTACAGGCATGTACCACTGTGCCAAGTCTCAATTGGGCAGGGCCAGCATGGCACACTGGGGATCGAACCCCAGCCACTGTGCTCCGCCTAAACAGGTGCTTTAGTCTGTTGAACTATCTGACTGGCCTGAAAGTGCTCTTTTAAAATGTGCCTGGTAGCAAATATATATATATAATGTGACTGTTGAATGGGGTGGGGATTCCATTAAGTTTACTACAAAAAAGAAAAAAAATGCAGTGAGTTTCAGTTCAGCTAGTATCCTTTTACAATCTAGTTATGACATGAATATTTATAATACTTTGAACAGTTTAAGCAGTTGATATCATACCTTTGCATTTGTACAGTCCTTAATTAAGATTATAGTTTTTCAGCCATTCAGAGAACCATTGACTCATTAATTTAGGCTCCATTAAGTAATATAGAGGCCTAAGCTAAATGGTTAAGTATTTATGCTACTTGTATTGACATCTGTTATTTAATTCTCTCATGACTGTTAAAAGTGGTTCTTAAGGCCTGGCCAAATAGCTCAGTGGATTGCAGTGTGGGCTTAGGCAGAGCGCAGGGAGTTCAACCCTGGGGCGTGCTGAGATGGTGACTGAGACTGGGCATGGTGGCGCATACCTGTAATCTCAGCACTTGGGAGGCTGGAAACAGGAAGATCACTACAAGTCCAATCTATACAGTGAGACCCCTGTAGACCCTGTAGACCCTGTCCTAAAAATACAAAAAAAAAAAAAAAAAAAAGTAGTTCTTAAAACTGTTTCAAAACAAAATTCACCTTATTTGAGCTCTGACTCAGAGGTTCAACAACAGTCACGAAGTCCACAGTCTTATTGGCCAAACAATGCCTCTAAGTCACTGTGCTCAAGATTTCTCAATACATCATCCATTTCACTGGACTTTTGCATGTTCGATTCATGATTTAGAGTCTCCTAGGTTTCAGTCTTCCAGACTCTGAAGAAACAGTGTACCACAGACTAAAGACTTTTCCTTCTCCTTCTCCTTCTCCTTCTCCTTCTCCTCCTCGTCCTCCTTCTGCTTCTCCTTCTCCTTCTATTCCTCCTTCTGCTTCTCCTCCTCCTCCTCCTTCTGCTTCTCCTTCTCCTCCTTCTCCTCCTCCTTCTGCTTCTCCTCCTTCTCCTCCTCCTCCTTCTCCTCCTCCTCTTCCTCTTTTTTTTTCCTCTTCTTCCTCCTTCTCCTCCTCCTCCTCCTTCTCCTCCTTTTCTTCCTCTTCCTCCTCCTCCTCCCCCTCCTCTTCCTCCTCCTCCTCCTCTTCATCCTTCTCCTCCTCCTCCTCCTTCTCCTCCTCCTCTTCCTCCTCCTCCTCCCCCTTCTACTCCTTCAGGACCTTGCACTTGCCAGGAAGGCACTTATTCTGATGAGGTATATCCCTATCCCTCTATTTTCTTCTAACAAAAACATTTCTTGAGTGTCTACATGTTCTAGAAGGGGAAGATTTTGAAGGCCGTTTCTTCAGAATAGTTGGATGGTTTCAGGCCTCTGAAACAAGGGGAAGCTGAAACACAAGGTCCGTCTGGTAAGTTTGACGTTAACCATTACAAGCCAGACAGTATAAGAATGTGGCTTTTTTGGCTAAAAAAGTACGTCTTGGTGTGAAAATGAGTACTTGGCTCAACCACTGCTTTCTCAGACTGGACTGTCAGGGAAGTCTGGACTGGGGAGTGTGACTGTTCTGTCAGGACTTAGTTCCTCTGGGGCTTGTGCCTATTTGTCTTTAATCTGTCCCAGTCACCTTTCATTTTTAGGAAAAACAAGTGGATTGTTAAGTCCACCACCACTGATCTTGGCCAGGCAACACTCGGTTGCTGGACCCGCTTGAGATACTGGACTTGAGTAGCGCACTCTTGCCATCTCTAGGACCTTGGTTGCTTAGCGGCCTTACAAGAATGTTCTCCTTGTGTGTATATCTTACTGTTGTTTCTCTAGCTTTTCTTCAGACGCCCTTATGCCAGTTATATCACTTGAGTTAAGATATGTGTATTTGCTCTCCAAAGCTTGACTATATGTTTCATATTGTTTCTATCTTTAGAATTGACCTATCTTGTGCCATAACTTCAATGTCTTTTTTATTCAACTGAGCATTATTTTTGGAAGGTCTTTGTTGGTCATCCTGAATCCTCTGCGTACCCCGGCTGCACTGGAGCCAGCAGTCACCCGGGCCAAGGCTGCGCTGTCCACCTCTGAACCCAGCACGCTCCTCCCACCTACTTTATTTTCAGGTTTTGTTACCACAAAATGGCACTGAAGAAGGAAACTGAGATATTTATAATAATAAAAATTTTAATTCATAAAACTCAGAGGACCATGCTTGAGAAGGCCTCTTATCCTTCACTTGACAAAGTCCAGCTTCACAAGAAGCTGAACCATATACCCTGTGATGTGGGAAGAAGCAGGGTCACCTAAAGGATACTCAGAAGACAGATGTGGCTGTGCTGGACCCATCAGGTGGGCTTCCCAGCTTAACTTTTGGAGCTTCTCTGCCTCTTCACTATCAAATTGATTGTCCATGACCACCAGAACAAGCACAGAGCCTCACTCAGCTCACCCCACCCTTCCATTCCATCTCTAGTTTGTCTTCTACTAGGGACAGGAGTTCTTCCCCCATACTCTATTCCACTAGGGGGGGCTAGGTCTCCTCCCTCAAAGGCCCTGTATTCTTTGTTATTAAATATTGTGTCTTGGTGCCTGTCTCCCTTCACCAATTATAGACTCTCTAGTTTTGGGGGATTAAAGAATGTTGTTTGTCATAATGAACTAGATGGGAAGCTGACACAGGATGGGCCAAGCCCATCGAGGTCCTGGCACCTAGGTGTGGCCTCAGCTGTGGCACTGGATTTGTAGGGCAGAGTTACTGTAGTCTTCAAAGATCCTGGGACTTCCCTTCCATATGTTGGGCCCACTGGGACCTCTCCTTCAGAGTGTTGGCTTCCCTGGACACAATAAAAAAATTCTGCCCACAGAGTAACAGATCCAAGGAGACTTCACCATAGTACTGCAGCCTCCTCTCTTCACACTTTTTAAAAAAATATATTTAGATAGGGTCTTCAGGGTCTACGAGGTCTCATTATATAGATTGACACTCATAGTGATTCTCCTGTTATCATACTCCCAAGCACTGGGATTACAGGTAGGCGCCATCACTCCCAGTCCCAATCACCGTCTCAGTGTACCCCTGGGGTGGGGCTGGCATGGCTGGCACGCTGGGGATGAAGTCTGGCTGCTGTGCTCTGCCTAAGCAGGTGCTTTAGTCTGCTCAGCTTTGGGTGGCTCTCTTCACACTGTTGACTTTTTTTTTGGGGGGGGCGGGGAGACAGGGTCTCACTATGTAGTTCAGGGTGGTCTTGAACTCACTGTGTAGCCTGGCTTGGCCTCAGATTCAGGGTGATCTTCTGCCTCAGCCTCTGGAGTGCTGGGATCATGGATAGGTACCACCATACATGACCCATACTGTTGACTTATTATCAGGGGTTAGACACTGTGTTTGCATTATTTTTCTCAGCACTATTATGAGGCAGGTACTCTGTATATTTAGTTTACAGAGAAAGATCCCAAGGTGAAGGGACTTGTTGAAGGTCACTTATTTTACAAGTGACAGAGCAAGGATTTGAAGAGGCAGTCTTAACTTTACCAGGTTCAACCTAATCTATGCTGGTAGAAAGCTGAAAAAAAAAAACATTGCTTGCTCTTAACAAATTAATGATAATATTGACAGTGCTTGTTTTTGGTCAGGCTCAGCTCTTTACATACATTATATTATAAATCTATATCCCAGTAGAATGAAGTAAGGTTATGCCCATGTTATGAGGAAAATTGAAGCTCCAAGAGAAAAAGAGATCAGCTTGAGTTCGCATAGTTAGTCAGGCAGTCTGGCCCTCCTCTGAGGTCTTCTCCCCAGACTTCCACACACAGGCCTCTCTGGCCCTCACTCCACACTGTCTGGCTAACCACGTCCATTGCACCTCCTTTCATCTATATTTTTAACATAGTTTGGAGGCTGGAGTTGGACACTATATAAATGGTGACCCCGGTGGGTGTATCTTCTACCTAGGGTGTTCTTTAGCTTTTCCTGTCTCTCCCAGCTACCTGGCAAAGAGTCTGCAGTGGGCCCATCATCCAGGCCCTTACCTATCTGTGTGTGCCCAAGTGTGTGCAGCTCAAGTAGCACAAAGAATAGAGCCAGCAGGATGCCTGTACCTGGTGGGGAGGCCAACACACAAGGGGAGGGTGTGACTGTGTGTCTTGGGGATAAGTGGTTCTGGGAAGCTGATATAAACAGCAGCAACTGCTAGCATTATCTGGGCTCTAAGAATAACTTGGGCTGAAAATTGGAAGCTGTAACCACAGAAAATGACAGGAGCTTGCAATCTCTACTCCTGCTGCTTGGCCTGGAAGCCTGGGAACCTCTCTGCTGGCTTACCATTTGCTCTAGGTGGTTCTGAATGGGTACAATTATTGGGCTGGAGGAAAGAAGGTACTAGGAGTCAGACCTACGCAGAGACAGTGAATCTACATTATGGGGACTGGCCCTTGCCCAGGCCCCTCCCCACTGGCCCAGAGTGGCAGCTTAGTTTCTCAAGGACCATTTGGAAGTGACCTTTATTTACTTAGCAAAAACTTGAAAAATAGGTTATGCGAGTTCGACCATCATGGGGAAAATCGCGCTGCAGTTGAAAGCCACGCTGGAGAACATCACCAACCTCCGGCCCGTGGGCGAGGACTTTTGGTGGTATCTGAAGATGAAATGTGGTAACTGTGGTGAAATTTCAGAGAAGTGGCAATACATCCGACTGATGGACAGTGTGGCCCTGAAGGGAGGTCGTGGCAGTGCCTCTATGGTCCAGAAGTGCAAGCTGTGTGCACGGGAAAATTCCATTGAGATTTTGAGCAGCACCATCAAGCCTTATAATGCTGAAGACAATGAGAAGTTCAAGACAATTGTGGAATTTGAGTGCCAGGGCCTCGAGCCAATTGATTTCCAGCCCCAGGCGGGGTTTGCTGCTGAGGGTGTGGAATCAGGGACAGTCTTCAATGACATTAACCTGCAGAAGGACTGGACTGACTATGACAAAAAGTCTCAGGAGTCTGTGGGAATCTTCGAGGTCACACACCAGTTTGTGAAGTGCTGAACCCTCTTGCTGCACACTTCCCCTTAAGAACTGAGAAGAGACAAAGTGGCCCAAGTAGTAGCACCTGCACAGGCTGGTGCCCATGTCCCTCATCTCTTGGCAGTGATGCCTTCTTGATCTGCATGCTGGGCTCTGTCTTAGCTCCTGAGTTTCACCAATAAAGCCCCAGTTCTGGCCGCAAAAAAAAAAAAAAAAAAAAAAGAAAAATAGGTTATGCATACACATGATTAAAAAGTTCCAATGCCTAAAAATATACAAGGGGGAAAAATACTCTCCTTCCTTTCCCTGATGCCTTGTCATCACCCATGGTTACCAGCATCTTGAATGACTTCCAGAGAGATAGTCTGTCCATAGATGAGCATGTAAATACACAAATCTCTGCCTCACACTTTTACATAGTTGATAGCATATCTTATTTTTTCTGCTCACCATTTTTTTTTCATCCTGGGATCAAACATAGGACCTCATACATGCTAGGCAAGTGCTTGACCACTGAAGCACACCCCCGTCTTCTCACTTATTTTTCTGAATATTTCATTTTTTACAAACATACATATAGTCATTCATTCTTTTTTTCCAGATAAGATCTCTATATAGTGCATGCTGACCTTGAACTCACTCTATAGCACAGGCTGGCCTTAAGCTCAAGGAGATTCTCTTGTCTCAGCCTCCTGAATGCTGGGATTACAGGTATACACCACCATGCCAGGCTTAGAATATTCTATTTTAAAAATAATAATTAGACCAGGTGTGGTGGTGCACATCTGTAATCACATTGCTGGGGATGCTGAAAACAGGAAGATCACTATGAGTCTGAGCTGTGTAGTGAGACCCTGTATCAAATACATAAATTTAAAAAAAGAAAATAGTAATTTATTGAGTCACCACTAGTCCCAGGCATTATTCTAAGCACTTCATATGTTTTAACTTGTAGTATTTATTACAGTGCTCAGAAGTAAGTACCATTTACGAATGTCCATTGTTAAAAAATAATTTTCCCAGATTTTTGGCTAGTAAGGGCCTGAGATCCAGTCACGAGGTGCTCTTCATTACTACTCTAGCCTGCCTTTCAAGTGAAAGTCATATCCCTTCACACCATGCCCTCCCTTTAAGGGCCAAGACAAAAATTTAAAAAATGTATAATGCACTTACCAGGTACCAGGCTGAGGCCAAGATACAGCAGAGTATAAGAAAGACCAGGTCTCTACCCTCATGGAAGTAGTACCCCAGTGGCCATGAGTTTTGGTTAACCAAGACAGGAAGAACAAACCCACAGGTCTCACACTCAACTGCCCATGTACAAGTCTGCAGTTCAGATAGACCCTGTTCCCTTACCCACTGTCCTACAGTTGTACAGCCTCTGAGCTGGAAGGCCTTAGAACCTAGAGCCCAGAGTTACAGGTGAAAGATGGGGTTCCAGACAGAGGCGGCTGCCTATGAGAGATCACTGTGTCGCTCTGGTGAGCCTTGTCCCCTGCCCCCGGGGATCCATTTAAGCAGGGCTGTAGAGACTGTCTCTAATCCAAGGCCCAGCTATTGTTTGAAGTTGGGAACAATTGAAGGGCAGGGGAGCTATAGATAGAGCCACAGCTGCTGTCACCTGTCCCAGCCTGGGCACTGGTCCCGAGCATTGTCTACATTGGGGCATTCTAAGAGTGAGGGGTGGGAGGTGGGTCCAGCCTTGCTCAGCTCTACAGAGTCAGAGACCAAGAGAGAAATGCAGCCTTAGAAGGTAGAAAGAGATAAGGGACTCCCACCTGGTGCCAAAAGTGGAGTCTCATTGGAGTAGGGGCAGAGACACAGTAAACACAGTTGTTTACTGAAACAACAAGGATCTGAAACAAAGGTTGGTCACACAGATGCAGCAAATCAGAGACCTGGACCAGAACCAGTGCTTGGGTCAGGACACCTCAGTCCAGCATAGGTCTTTCTGTCTGTTCCTTTGGGATAATGACACCTGCATATTTCTTTCTGGGGTGACCATGCCCCAGAACTCTTCCGGGTGCATTCTGAGTAACCTTTGTGAGTACTGTGCCACTGGGTCTATTCATATCTTTAATTCACTGTGCAACCTCGGGCAAGGACTTGCTTCTCCCTCTGTGCCTCAATTTCCTTGACTGTTCCTTGACAGTTGCCTTGTGCAATCACTAAAGGTCCCTCTCATTCTCTGATGCTGTCAGGACATTGTCCCTCATGTGTCTAGCTTTGCCTTGCTTGCTGCAGCTTAGGCCACTATCCCCCCCTTTGTTTGCCCTTTATGGGGATGGGGGACAGCTGGTTCCTCACTCCCTCTCCCCAGTAACCTTTTAGCCATAAATCCATGCTGAGGCGTCTCTCCTCCGGATAAACAGCCTTGATGCCTTTTGGCTGCCCTCATCCTATTTTCTGCTTGAAGTATCAGAGCTGGGGCCCACTCGAGCCTGCTGCAGCTGCCCAGAGCCCCGGGAGGGGGACAAACCTGGGACAAGCAGGGGCCCTACCACCCCCAGGGTGCTAGGCCCCTCTTGAGGCCTCACCACTTTGCATGTGGACTGTTAAGGCAGCCTCCTCCTGAGTAAGTCTTCCTGCCACCGGTCTCGCCCCTTCAGTCCATCCTCCACACCAGCTGCCACAGAGATCCGATGAACACATAAATCTGACCACTGTCAGATTCCTTGCTCAGAGCTCTTTGATGAAGAAAGAAATAAAAAATGCTTTTGATGGTGCCCCAACTTCTGCAGGGGAAAGCTTCAAATCTTAATCTAGCTTTTGAAGCCTTTCACAATCCAGTCCCAATTGTCCAGTCCAGCTTCACCTCCTGTAAGCCCACCCCCTCCGGCCCACCTCAGCTGGTGGTGCCTCTTCCACATTGGACTTTTGATTTAAGCTATCTGTCCCCTCTCCTCCTTTTAGTACCTGTACCCATCCAGGCCTATCAGTTCCCACCTGAAACACCCAGAAGCCTCTTCAGCTGCTCTGTGCTCAATCTCTTGTTCTCTCCAGCCCATTCTCTACACAGTAGCCAAGTGGCCATTACTAAACTTCTGGTCTCTTATTTTCCTGGCCTAGTAGATTTTCATGCAATCAAATCCACACTCCCTTTCCAAGTCCTTCAAGACTGGGAACAATCTTGGAGACCCATCTACCTCTCCACAAACCTTACAGACTTCTCCCTTTGCTTACCATTGTGCGTCACCACTATGACAGTACCTTAGATATTCCCCACTGTTTTCTGCTGCCTGATTTTTTGTATTCACTATTCCCTCTCCTTGGAATATCCTTCCCCAGGACCTTAGCCTGCTGGCTCCTTCTCATCCTTCTGGTCTCACTTCAGATGTTAGCTCTTCAGAATGTCCTCCCTGGCTCACCTGAATAAAACATTCCTTCCCTAACCCTTCAGAGCACTGTCATGTTTATTTCCATCATATAACCTGCTGCGACCTTTCTTTGTCTTTAAAAAACATGTTTGCTTGTGGGTTTTTTTTTTTCTTCTCAAAAGAATGTCAGATGTTTGAGGGAAGAGACCTGAGGTCATACCCTGTGCACACCAGTCTGAATGTCCAATGCACTTTTGTTCTTTAAACAGGACAGTTCTGAGCCATTTATTTTTGGCGGGTGTGGGGGTTCTGTGTCAGGTTATACACTGAGCACACCATTCTAGAATTAGACCCATATTGCATTTTATATAGGCTGGGATTACTGAAGGTTCTGATTCTTTAGTTGCTTGGGCCCTGGACAAGAATCCCTGTATTTTGAGCATTTTTGAAAAGCAGCATTTTCTCCATGCCCAATACTTTTAAAAAAAAATTAAAAACCTTTTATTTATTTGGTATAGGGTCTTGCTAAGCAGCTTGGACTCATAGTGATCCTCCAGTGCTGGGATTACAGGTGTGCACCACCATGCCTGGTTTTGGTGGTCAGCTCTGCACGGGGCCAGCACAGCATGTGGTACCAGGGATCCAACCTGGGTATTTGCACTTACCAGGCAGGCACTTGGACCACTGAGCTATCTCCCTGACCCCCAATACTTTTTGTAAATTCCTCAAGCCATACCCAGCCACTGACCCCATATAGAGATTAAAACGCTATAATATAAACAATTAAGTTTGGCCCCTCACTCAATAGATTTTTTTTTTTTTTTTTCAGAACCAGGGATTGAACTCAGGCCCTCGTGCTGGCCAGGGAAGCGCTTATTCTACTGAGCCATCTCCCTGGCCCTCAATAGATATTTATTAATTCTACTCTTCACAGACTTTCCCCAAGTTTCTGGGACTATTGACAAGCTCCTTCTCTCAAGGAGTTCTTTTCTGGTGGCAGGAGGCAGATAATAACAATGGAAGTTCAATGGAAAGAGTTAGAATGCTGTTCTCACAAATATGATGTTGAAGAAAAGAAGGAAGGAATATATAATGTAAGATTTCATACATAAAAATTCTGAAAATAGACAAATCCCAGGAGGGGTGGTATATGAAAGAGAGCCCTAAGGGGATAATTCCTCATAATTTCTGCTATTTCCGGGGGGCCTGGCTCTAGCTCAGTTCTTTAAGTGGCTGCTTCCACAAAGCTGTCTGCCTCAGCTTATTCTAGTTCAATCCCCACAACACTCCAGCCAGCCAAAAGTGCGCTGAAGGCA